AGTAATAGCTCTACAAGCTAAATCATCTAACCTGTGGGGGAAAACCAGAGTTGGAATGTGATATTTTTGAAGCTTTGTCCATTATTGCTTGTCATGACTATAGCATTTCTCAAGTGTCTGAAATAAACTTGCTAAACAGAGTTGGGAATGCAAGAGAATATCAAACCATTGGTAGAAGGTTTGGGAAAGTCCTTTAAAAACTAACCTAAGCCACTTCCTCCACTTAAAGCAGAAAAAAATCTGCTTCCAAACTGTTCTACAAGATGAGCTATGTGTCTTGATCTAATACAACATGTCACACAGAAAGTAACTAAAAGAAGTGAGACTTTCTGAGGAAATTCAGTTAAATTTATATTGCAGGAAAACATTCTGAAATACATGAATGAATATGCTTGTTGTTAGTTTGCTGCTGGATGAATAATCTGTTGAATATATATTCTTGATATAAGAAACAGTGCCTGATTCTATTCCCAAGGAAATAAATCGTTTTTTCATTGACTTCTGTGGGAGGTGGACTAAGCCTTTGAAGATGTTTTGATCTGTTCATGCTTCTTCCAAAAACATTGTATTGTCTCAGCAGATTGTGTACACTAAGGGTACGTCTAGACTACAGGGTTTTGTCGACAGAAGTTTTGTCGACAGATACTGTCGACAAAGCTTCTGTCGACAAAGAGCGTCTAGACACATTGAATTCTGTCGACAAAGCAAGCTGCTTTGTCGACAAAACCCTGTAGTCTAGACGCAACCCTACATGCAATAACACCTTCTGTTGACAGAACTCTGTCGACAGAAGGCGTTATGCCTCGTAAAATGAGGTTTACCAGCGTCGACAAAACTGCTGAGTTCTGTCGACGGTATGTCGACAGAACTCAGCGGTAGTGTAGACGCAGGTATAGTTTCGTCGACAAAAGTCCACTTTTGTCGACAAAACTCTGTAGTCTAGACACACCCTAAGATTAATATGAGCACTTAGACTAATCTCTTGTAGAAGTTTGAAAAGATTTTTGGTATCTGAGTGTTTTTGTAGCATCTGTCACCATAGCATTGAAGTATGTATAAGGTAAATGAAATATGTGGGATAAAGTCGCTGTTGGATTTGAAGGGTTTTTTTCCCATTTGTGGATAAGAAATAAATTGTTCTGGAGCTTTCTAAACTTTGTTCATTGTCTCTAATAAAGGAGTCACCCAGCCTTAAATATGCTAAAAGAAACCCCAAAAACAAAATCCAAAGAACTATTACAAAGTGGGGAGCCAACTGTATTTAATGTTAGATTGTAGGGGTTGGTGCTTGACTGCTCTTGAACTAACCAGTAGAGGGAGCCCATTAACCAGCTAAGTCTAATGTGACATCATCAGTTAGGATGATGATAAGGAAACAAAGAACTGATCAAAATGTGCAAAACAGACTATTAAATTTTGAATCCTAACTGCAAATGTCAGAAGATAAAAATACTGAGAAGAGCATACTAGGAGTGGGCAGTCACATAAATAAAACTGCATTTTAAGATGTATTCTTAAAAATTAATACCAAGTTTAAATATCCTCACAGGTCTACTTTCCAAATATCATTTTAGCAAGAGTGAGTCTGTAATGCAGGACTACTTCCGAATTTTTTTTATTTTGCCCTTATTACTTGCCGTACATATTTAACCACGTGAAATCTATCAAGCTTAGTCATTAATGAGCCAAATGCTGCAGCATGATTAAAAGACAGGCATGCTTCTTTGCAATCATGCATTTTCTCATATACAGACTAATACTGGCCTTCATTGCACTTTATAAAGGAGGCCAGCATCATTATCTCCATTTTACAGCATGGAAAACTTACACACAGATGTGACTTGCCCAGGATCACCCAGCAGGCCAGTAGCACCACTGAGAATTGAACGTGAATCTCTTGAAGTCCAAGTACAATGCTCTGTCCATTAGCCTGCACTGTCTCTGATATGGCTCCATTCGTTGTGTCTTCCCACGAGGGACTGCACAGACCAGTCACATTTTAGATGGAATATTCAAGGGTTTGTGGGTGATACGGATCTGAAAGGTTAAGGGTGATGCTTGCCAGTTCTGGTTAATTGGTCAGGTTCTCCGCAGATGGCCTTTTTAGGTTATTTCTAAGGTCCCCCTCCGTAGTTCTGCTCCTCTCCACTACCTTTGCTTTGTAGTTTTTGAGTGTTAATATTATTTTGTCTCCTCAGCAAGCTTCCTATCACTCAGACGTGAGTGAAGATGTTCGAGCGAGAGCACTGCGATTTGGAACAGAATGTACCCTGGGATACTTGGAACTCCTAGAACATGTCCTCCTGGTAAGAAGTAGCCTATAAGCAAGTACTGAAGCTTTGCCAAGAACAAATCCTCTCTCTGAGCTCTTTTCATCATCATTGCCAACGTTGGCTTTTTTATTAGCTTGCTGCAAGTTCCTGAACAAATGGTTAAAATAGCTTCGCACTTTCTGAAAAGAGCGAGAAGGGAAGCTGAAGGTGTTGCAAAGAGCTCTCTTCTAGAGCTTAGTTAAACATGAGGCAGTGAAGGCATCACATCATCTAAAAATGGGCCCCTTTAAAATCATATATTGGTGGGTAGAACACACACCGATCACCCACACCACCACCATTGTGAAATCCCTAGGGGAGCACTACATGCACATGCATGCCGACCCTATCCTGAGGTAAGCAAAGCAAATAGCTGTCCGAAGCCAATCCCAAAGCCCCACCTAATGTGAATGTGAAAAAAGCTCCCCAAACCTGTCCATTTTTTCACTTAGTCTTCTGACTGACTGACTGACTAACTCTGAAGCTGCGAATACTGAACCATATGTGCTTTTCAGGAAACTCGACACTTTTTTGGTTGTATTATAGCATTGTTTCAACACGGCCATTTCAAACATAAAGCATGGGGTGTGTAAGACATTTTTTAATGAAATACTCGACTATTCTCAAGTTGACTTGCAGCTGCAAGTACTCATGTGCACGACCTCCAAGAAGCTACTTTTCAGTGGCTGCTGTGTGATATGAGACTCCTGGGTAGGAAATACATTGTCAGGCAGAAACTGTAATGTGTCTAGTTAAATTAAATTAACAGTTGTGTGTGGGAATAAAGATAAACTTTAAAAAAAATAGATGCCTGATTATATTAATGGTTGTCACGAGCAGGGAAGAGCATGTAAGAAACTTGTTAGATCTCATTATTGGACTTTTCCCAGCAGAGAATAATTTACATTTAGAAATCTAGTATATTTTTAGTACAGTTGTACTTGGGAACTTTGTCACGTTTTATCCACTCTTAATTAATATTGCAGTATCTGAGTCAACATTATACATTCAGGGACACCAGAGAGCATGATGTTTGGCCATCAGAGCCCTTCAAAATACCACCCTCTACAGGTTTTAGATTCAATAAGTACAATAACCGAGACTTCATATGCCAAAAGCTCCCTCTGTGCTGGGTCATAAAGTGTAAAGTGCATGTTACCTGAGTGCTCACATACAAGTAACACGGCTTTGCCACGCTTGTGAATTGTCAAAATTATCTAGGTGATAAACATCTCAGTATTCAAGTCAAAAGTCCTGTTGGGTGACCTATGTGAAGTGTGATCTTACCCATTTCCTAGTGGAGGCACTATTTGAGTATTCGATACTACCCAGAAAGGCACCCTTAGGAGAGTAACAGATGGAGCTCCCCTCTCATACCTTCAGATGGCCTCTGTGTGGGAGATTGGTGCGTGGCAAACTTTCACACTGTGTCCATGCTCTGTCTGTGTTTTGGGTAAATACAGAACATCAATCTCCAGCATCTGTCATGAGTTCAAAATCCACGCAAGGTAGCTGGGAAACATCAGTTTGTGCACATCCCCCCATTCATTTAATTGCCACATTGTTGCCATTATTAAGAGTAGTACTGATGTCACAGACTGTTTCTGCAGCTGAAAACATGGCACTTTGCTGCAGTCATGATCATGCAGTATGTATTTTTGGAAATTGCAGCTGTGTGGGAAGGTTGGCTCTGAAAGGCACAGTGGTACTGCCTGCTGGGTTGGAGGAGTCTCAGAAAGGGCCCTGGTTATAGCCCTCATTGTTGCAAAAGGTATTTATTGTATAAATATGGCAGCAGGTTGCTTGGCTTTTCAGGGTTCAGGTATTTATATTTACTATGGAAGCAAAGCTCTTCAGCCTGAGACTTGTTGCAACTATCTTGTGACAGTTAAAAACCTCCCGTCTGGGTTTCTCTCACATCTTGTGGCACAAGAAACGCGCCATCAATTTCTGCATATTCCTCAGAAGCGCCCTCCTCTCCCCCTGCAAAAAAACTGATAGCAAGGATCAGAAAGGCCAGGGAGCTTCAGTTTAAGTTAATACTCATGGAGAAGTCGCTCCGTCCAGCCTCTGACCCAGAACATACACCACCACTGAGACAGCCTTCTCTAGTCGGAGTGTCTGAAAGGACAGCTCCCTCAGGGACAAGTGCCAGAGACCTGCTCTGGGTATGGTATCCAGAAATCGCTCTCATTTCCCCCTCAATAAAGTGTGGTAACACAAAAAATCAGCCCTGGTACTGATGGCATCCAAAGCACCAGATTGTGAGGCACCAGGAACGTCTGGCAGCGAGACAACCCTTGGAACAAAAGACTCGACACAGATCTTCTCTAGGGCAGCTTCCCACTCGAAGGGCAAATCGGCTCAGTCAGCACCAGCAAAGCTGCTCGCTCCCTCAGCACCGAGCGTCTAAATGCCGCCACCTGCTGTTTCCTCACATCATTGTAAGCGGTTGGTACAGGCACATCTTTCAGCCCTTTCTCTGGCACCCTTCCTAGTACCAGCCTTCCTGGCACTGCAACACTTCACCAGCCATGCAGATTTAGTAGCTACCTCAACACCTGGAACACCTCTGTTTAGTGCCAATGGAACCCCAACAGCCTCCCGATTCATCCTCTCCACTACGCCTGTTGGATCAGCCCCCTCTAATGTTTAGTAAAGAGAAAGACGAAACCTCTCAAGACTTACATGCTCCACGCCATTCAGTGCCTAGACCGGTGGTTCTCCAAGTGTGGTCTGCGGACCTCTAGTGGACTGCGGACTATCTTGCAAATGAGCTGTGGGCTCGCAGCTCTCCACCCTGCAACAGGGAGCCAGTGCTGGCACTCTAGCCCCAAGATCTGCCCCGCCCACCCCACCCCACCCCCACGAGGCCAGTGCCGGCTTCCTGCTTCAGAGGACCAGGAAGGGCAAGCCTCATGAGCTGGATCCAGCTTGAAGGGAAGAAAATGGCTTTCGCATTGCCACTGCCACTCCCACCCCCGGGTGGGGGAACGGCAATGCAGGAAACAGCTCACCTAGAGGCTTTCCCCACTGCTCTCATAGTGGGCAGTGGGGCCAGGGCCTGGGAGCAGCAGATAGCATGGAGCCAGGTAAGCGCTCCCCTCCCGCACCCCATGCCCCCAACATCCTCACACACACCCTCCCACCGAGATCACTCACTCCACCCCACTTCTGCATCCACCCTTCCCTTCTAGGCTCCCATCCCGCTGCTGCACCTATCCTCCCAGCCAGACCTGCAGCCAACTCTTTCACCCGTTTTGTCATCATGGGTGGTTGGCTGATGGTCTGTGGAAAGCTTTGCATTGAGTGGGGTGGGCTATGGGCCAAAAGGTCTGAAAACCACTGACCTGGACCAATGCAACAACCACCACCGTGGCAGCCCCCTCAGCGGGTGCCCCCACCAATACCAATTCTATCCAATTGTCCCTACTGGGACCCCTTAGGCTATGTATAGAGCTCAGCACCCTCAACCTACTCAACAGTCAGCTCCAACTCATTGATCAGAGGCTTCTCCAGCCCCCTTCTTTCGCAGATCCAGAAGAGGATCCAGAAGCCATGGGGGACAGGGGGACATGCCTTCCCCACCCCTCAGAAGAGGATTTGAAATCATTTCAGGAGCTGTACAATGGAGTGGCTGACTCTTTGGCAATCTATATGGAACAGTTATCAGAGACACAACGTAGGCTCACGGACATTGTCCACATGTCTCCAGCTGCCAAACTTGCCCTGCCAATCAATGGAAATGGAGCAGACTCCAGCCACCTTCCCTCCCTCCCTCGTGCACATGATCAGACAAAAAATACCGTGTTGCACCACTGAGCGCAGATTTCCTTTTCACTCGTCCCTCCCCAAGTTCTCTAATGGTCGATGCTGTGAATCAGAGGGGCAAGCAGAATGTCACCTCTGCCACCCCCTGTGGTAGGAACTGGAAGTGGCTTGATTTATTTGGCAGGAAAGCCTATTTGTCCACCACTCTGCAGCTCAGGATCACAAACAATGCCATGTTGCTAGCAAAGTACACTCACGATACTTTATTCCAAATGTCAGCTTTTATTGACCAGCTGCCTGATGGTAAAAAAGAACAGTTTACGGCCAATATAAACGAGAGTTCCCTCATCCCCCGCACAGTGCTCCAAACTGCTCTGGCTTCAGCAGACACGGCTACATATTCCAAATCCATGGCAGTGGTTATGCAATAGGCATCCTGCCTACACCCTTCACATTTCCTGAAAGAGGTTGTCTGTAGTGGAGGATCTGCCTTTGGGGGGCTTCACGCTCTTTGTGGAATCCATCCACACTCTTGAGGATTTGGGGTCCACGTTGATAACCTGGGCGATATACGTGCCTGTGACCAAGAGAGAACAAGGCAAGGTTTTTAATCAGCCATTCAGAAGCACTCCTTACACACACAGCCCTAGAGACAGTATGATAGGCATAAAGAGCGCCAGACCAGGCACAGACAAACGGTGGAACAATCAACTAGTTCCTAGTCTTCAGCATCAAAGCGCGTTTGGTCGAGGGCCAGATAGCCCCATACTCTCCTAACACCTGCAGATCACCGTCACTTCCACCCCATTTGGAGACTGCTTAACATCCTTCTATCCAGTCTGGAGCAGCATCACAACAGACACACGGGTGCTACATATTGTGTGAACTGGCTATTGCCTCCCGTTTCTTCTATCCCCCTCTTTCAGTCCCCCTAACAGTCCCTCTTCAGGGACCCATCTCATGAGGCCACCCTTCTGAAGGAACTAAATCATCTCCTGCGCCTCAGAGCAATGGAGCACGTACCACAGCTACATGGGGGGGGGGGGGGCTAGATTTTACTCACATTACTTCCTCATGAATGAGAAGACAGCTTGGTACTACAGGCAGAAATTGGCAAGCCACTTGAACCGTTAGCCCCCTGTTCACTGTTACATTTATCAATGAATTAGCCTTTTTAGTGGTAATCGCTTGAGCAAAAAGAATTGGGGAGTGGGAAGCCCTCATGGTGGGCAAAGGACAGAGTGGTCCTCTGACCACATCCAAATTTCCTCTCTAAGGTACCTTCTTTTCATTGTACAAGCCTATATGCCTACCTGTCGTCTTCCCAAAACCTCATGCACAGAGCAGACAGGCCATGCCACATTCGCTGGATGTGCTCAGACCAATAGCATTTTGTAGAGACAGAACTAAAGTTTTCCATAAGTCTTCAAGACTTTTCACCTTTTTTGCTGTTCTCAAGATGCCTCTTCTAGAGGCTTCAAGGCGAGACTATCTCTAAGTAGCAGCCATCCAAGTGACTCTCTGAGTACATCTGACTGTGTTAGCGTATCACAAACCAGGAGCCTCCAGCAGTCCTGTGCACGCGTTTTACCAGAGCAATGGTTTCGGTACACACCTTCACCAAGCCTTATGCATTAGAGAAACAGTCAGCCTCTGATGTGCATTTTGGACACACTGCGGTGCCCACTGTTCATTCGCAGACTCCGAAGTCCCCTTTTCTGAGTGTGAATACTTCTCCGTTGTTACCTAAAGTGGGGCACCCATGGAGATGCTGTGACGTAGTGGGGGTACCTGGCTGGTTTCTATGCTGCTGGCTCTGGGGTAACCCCCACTGGCTGCCGTGGGTACCACGACCCAGCAAAACAGGATGAGTCACTGTGCAAACCAGTATGGCCAGACACCCCCCATGGAGAGGAACAAAGGAAGGTGGATGCTGCCCTGGCTGGGGGGCAGGGCTGGAAGAGTGTTGGTTAGTTGCTGGCTGGGAGCATGAAGGAGACAGCCTAGGGAAAGGGGCTGGAGTTTAGGGGCCCAGTCTCCCCCATCTCAAGGGGGCCTGAGGCATCCTAGCCCAGCTCTGTGACCAGATTCCATCTGTGCTGTGCTGTATCCTGGAGAGGCAATAACCTTCCTCTATTCCACCGGCTGGTGCAGTCTGTGCCATTTCGGGGTGCAGGAGACGGGGGACCCCCAACGCGCCATCACAGATGCTCCTGAAAGAAGAGAAGGTTACTCACCTGTGCAGTAACTAGGTTCTTCACGATGGCTGTCACTATGGGTGCTCCACTACCTACCCTGCTACCCTGTGCTTTGGGGCAGATAAGGAAGTGAAGGAGTTGGTTTGCTGTGCATGCGGGATAGCTGCTCCAAATGGTGCATGCGAAATGCCCTGCATGTGCAGCTTACCGGGGGCACTGCTACCACAAAACTCTGACTTGAGGCGCAGGGGCACATAGACACTTAAAGTGGAGCATCCACAGGGACAACCATCTTGAAGAACATCAGGTACTGCACACGTGAGAAACCTTCTCTTTAGTCCTTTAGGTTTAGGTCCCCAAAATGAAACAATTGGCTTGAATTCTAATTGAGTTAAATGTTCCTCATTAATAGATAGACGCACAAGATCATGTATCAAATATTGAGTATTTTCAGAAACAGCTCTGTGGAATACTTTCACGAGATAGGTAGCTTTGCTTTCCTAGCACGGGCTAGCTATGTTGCACAATCTAGCAACCCGTCTTCTTGGGGTCTGTGGGGTCTGTTACTTTTGCTTCTGAGTTTGTGGCATTTTTGCATTTTTCTATAGGCACATAAGAACATAAGAACGCCCATACTGGGTCAGACCAAGGTCCATCTAGCCCAGTATCCTATCTGCCGACAGTGGCCAGCACCAGGTGCCCCAGAGAGGGTGACCGAAGACAATGATCAAGAGATTTGTCTCCTGCCATCCTTCTCCAGCCTCTGACGAACAGAGGCCAAGGACACCATTTCTATCCCCTGGCTTAATAGCCTTTTATGGACCTAACCTCCATGAAATCATCTAGCTTCTCTTTAAACTCTGTTATAGTCCTAGCCTTCACAGCCTCCTCTGGCAAGGAGTTCCACAGGTTGACTACACGCTGTGTGAAGAAGAACTTTCTTTTATTAGTTTTAAACCTGCTACCCATTAACTTCATTTGGTGTTAAAAAATTTTCTTTATCCGCCCTCTCCACACCACTCATGATTTTATAGACCTCTATCATATCCCCCTTCCATCTCCTCTTTTGTAAACTGAAAAGTCCCAGTCACTTTAACCTTTCTTCATTTGGGGCTCAGATTGTTTGTTTTTTCCCCTAGTGTAGCTTTAGGACTTTATCTAATGTGTACGTCATTGGGAACTTGCAGTGTGTATATTCTGTGAAACCTTAGCTTCTAATTCCTAATTAATTTTTTCTTTTTATAGATTCTTCAGAAGCCAACCCCAGAACTGAAGCATCCATTGGCTGCCTTATCAAAGCGTGTTGCTGGTGCTGTGACAGAGCTTATCCAGGCAGCAGAAGCAATGAAAGGTGGGTTAATACAATTAGTTAATACACATAGTGGTTTACGTTGCAGAAATGACAAGGGACATTAAATAGTCACCTGGATGTTCTTGTCATTGTTTGTTTTTTTTAATATTTAAAAACTTGGTAATTCCCTTGCTTATCTCCGCTTGCCCTGGTACCTCTTAATTACACAGAAATGTTATAATTAGCTGCTCTGCTCCAGCATTGGAATTGCTATGGGTCGCCAGCCCCATTCTTCACAGCAAAAGAACCTGCACAATACTTTTTAAGTAGAGTTTGCACCCTGCCCCCACCTCAGGAAATGGCTGACAGTTTCCACCAAGCACTGAATCGATTATCTCCACACTGAAAAGTTTGGATCCAAACTACAGGAAATAGCCCAAAGCTGCCTCAGCCGCTTGGCTTCCACAGTGAGCAACACTGGCTGGAATTACAAGATTAAATGCTGGTTGCTCCAGGTCACTATAGTTTTTTCCAGAACAATGTGATACGTTCACAGTGAGCCTCTATTTCTGTAGCCAAGCCCAGGCTGCTAGCATTAACAAAGATATAAAATGCCCAGAACATATCCACTGTGCATGACCCCACCAATACATCTCTACAGATGAAAGCATAATCTCTCTGTGACAGGTAGCCTGCCCCTTGTGGGTAGAAGTGTGTAGTGATCAGACAATCCCATGATTTGTTGTGGCTCTTCAAGATGTTTTAAAATCCAGTACAGGCAGTCCCCGGGTTACGTACAAGATAGGGACTGTAGGTTTGTTCTTAAGTTGAATCTGGATGCCAGTTCCGACTTACATACAGATTCAACTTAAGAACCCCAGGCATCCCCAAGTCAGCTGCTGCTGAAACTGATCACCAGCGGCTGAATCAGGATTCCTGGGGCTGAGCAGCTGGGGGGCTGCCCGGGTGGTCCAGTAGCGCCAAGGAGCGGTGCTGCAGGACCAATCGGCAGCGCCCCACCTGCTCTACCACAGGCCCCGGGCTTTGCTCCACATCTCCCTGGTCTGCTGGGGGAGCCAGCAAACCAGGGAGACGGGGAGCAAAGCGGCGGAGGACCCAGGCTGGACCCACGGCGCTTCCAGCTGATCTGGAAGCACCGTGGGCCTGGCCCAGGTCCTCCGCGGCTTTGCTCTGCGTCTCCCTGGTCTGCTGGGGGAGCCAGCAAACCAGGGAGACGGGGAGCAAAGCGGCGGAGGACCCAGGCTGGACCCACGGCGCTTCCAGCTGATCTGGAAGCACCGTGGGCCTGGCCCAGGTCCTCCGCGGCTTTGCTCTGCGTCTCCCTGGTCTGCTGGGGGAGCCAGCAAACCAGGGAGACGGGGAGCAAAGCGGCGGAGGACCCAGGCTGGACCCACGGCGCTTCCAGCTGATCTGGAAGCACCGTGGGCCTGGCCCAGGTCCTCCGCGGCTTTGCTCTGCGTCTCCCTGGTCTGCTGGGGGAGCCAGCAAACCAGGGAGACGGGGAGCAGCTTTTCTTGCCCCGGAGGAGGCGGGCGGCGGGATCAGGCGTTCCGCCGCTCCAGTCCTCCGGGGCGAGAAAATCTCCGTTCGTAACTGCGGATCCCACATAAGTCGGATCCGCGTAACTCGGGGACTGCCTGTATATAAGATAGATAGCTATGCTCCCACAATACTTAGGAGATACTGGTAGAAAGGATAGCCTCCCACCCAGCCAATTGGGGATGAGCTGAACGAAGGGGACCACAATAACTGCTTCTTCCTCCTTGATAGTTAGGCATACACTGATTAGTAGGAGAAAGCTGGCCCATTCAACCTCTGAGCCTGAGGACTAATTGGGAAGAGAGGGGCAACTGAGGGAGAAGCTGGCTAGGACCTGACAGCTGGCTAAAGTACAGCTTGCTCCAGGAGAGCTGGGGATTCCTGGCTAAAGGAGGATTGCAATAGCTGCCTGAATTACCCATCTCCTAGGGGAGCACAGTGAACAGTGACTGATGTGTATGTTGCTACAGAAGGAGAGCTGGGGACTCCTGGCTGAAGGAGGAAGGCAGTACCATCTGACTTGCCCAGCCAGGGGTGCTGTTCTGGGGCTGGTGTTCCATAAGAGGAGCCCAGGAAGAGGTGAAAGACCTCTTGCTTAACTTAACTTGGGACTGCAGTGGGAGGTGGCACTGATGTTGAGACTTTGAGAACCCCGGAAGGGGACTGTATTTTCAAGTGACCTGGCCATGGGGCTACGCCACAGAACATCCACACACAAGCGACTAACAAGAGGAGGCAACCAAGGGCATGGCCCAGCAACCCCATGCAGAGGCTGGTGAGGTGATTTTTGTGGGTGTGGGCTCAGTTTGAGGCTGGGCCCCATGACACTCCCATACAGCTAATCTGTGATAATTTATTCTGTCTGATGATCCTTCCATAGCGAAGAGCTTAAGTATGACTCAATTGTTCAGAGAAAAGATCCGGAATCATGGATGAGCAATAACCATTTTCTGTCTAAATTTTCATCCTATGGTTCTAAAACCGTAGTTAAAATAAAGATGAATCATGTTATCAAGGAGCTGTAAATCTACAGAGATGCTTATTTAGGTAGTGAAAGGAATATCACTCTGCCATTAATAAAGTGAATTGAGCAAGGGTATTCTAGAAGAATTAGTTCAATGAGCACATTTACATGACCAGCAAATATGTACAGAAATACTTTAATATTATAGGAAATGTAATATGAACATAATTTCAGTGCTACTTATTCTTACATTGGAGAAAAGGATATCTAGTATATCTACATTTGCTTGCTTATCCTATCATAAGTTTTGCATACAGTTGTCCTGATTTTAATTTCAGAGGGGTAGCCATGTTAGTCTGTAAATTTAAGGTCACAGTTTAACAGGGCTGCCCCTCTGAGATTTTTTAACATGCAAGGCACTGATTTTAGTTGTAACGTAGTGTCAGCCTCATCAGTTTTTTATGTGAGTTTTCTGCATTTCACCAAGCACTTGTTTTGAGGTCTGCAAAAGGAGATCTTTCCTCTCCAAAAAATATCCTTCACATGTGTAGGAGAAACTTGCTTATTGGCCTTATTGACTCTGGAGTTAGAACAGCAGTGTTTCAGTCTTGTGTTTTCCATGGATGGGCATCAGCTCTGTCTCCCTAGCCACTGTAAATGGAGACTGTATTGAGAACAGTCCACAATCTCCTGAATAGTCTAACACATCCATTGTGCTCTTTCTCACAGTTCACAGACAAAGCATCTCTCAGCCTTGCTCAAGGAAAGTACAGTAGGAACTTTCTACGTAACAGCCATGATTAAACATCGTTGTCTGCTACCATAATTCAGCACCCAGGGTATATATATGGCCTTTGAAGGAGCAATTTAGAGTTTCTTTTCTTCTCCAACTTTTTAGTTAAGCCACTTCCACAATAGAACATTACAACAAAGGGCTCTTTCCTTTCTGATTTGATTTTTGCGGTTAATGGTTTAAATTATAGTATTTTAGGCCATTCATGATATTAAAATAAGACTTCCCTATTATACACACTGTGTATTTAGCACATAGTTTTGCAGTGTGACAGGGAATCAGCTTGGTCAGAAGGCACTAACAGTACTACTGAAATTACTGTCTACCCCTCTGTTAATTTCAGGCACAGAGTGGGTGGATCCAGAGGACCCGACAGTCATTGCTGAGACAGAGCTATTGGGGGCTGCAGCTTCAATAGAGGCTGCAGCAAAGAAGTTAGAGCAGTTGAAACCAAGAGCCAAGCCAAAGGTGAGTGTCCACCTGCCGTGTTATTTTTAATTTAATATAGCAGAAATGCAAATCATTTGTATGTTGGGCTGTTGGTTGCTATAGATCAAGGTGATGGATGAAACAATTAATCCTTACTTTGTCTTCAGCTGGTGCCAGCAGAACAACACTTTTTAAAAGATATAGATGGCTCTTTCAAGTGGTGGGCCTGCAAGCAATAGGTTTGGACATGGAGGGGAAAGAGGGGGGGATTTTTAGGAAAAGCCCTTTCAGGTTATACAAGTATTGCTAGTTCATGTACTCTCCTGGGTCCAAAATAATATTTTCTGGTGTGAAAGATTATTCTTGTTGTTATCCTCAGTTTAAATGGCTTCTGAGGCTGCTCATTCAGTCTTCAATATGTCTATTATGGGATGATATGAAGTGTACTATAGGATCCTCTAGCCAAAAGATTTTATAAGGTCAGGGTTTGACTTCCATATAAAGGGTGTCTCCATATAAAGAGAAATATATAAATGAAAGTCCTGTGAGACCACGAAAGGATTCATATATTTTTATATGATTCAAGTATGCCCATGAGAATATTTTAGGTAAAATGGAATTAACAGCTTGCAGGTGTGTCAGAGGAATCATATGAGAATTACTATGACTGGGAGGAGACAGCATACGGGCACAATTCAAGGGGTAGGGCCATGACACAGAATCACTCCACAGTGTAGAACACCTAACAGGTTTTGAAATAAATCTTCATGAGACCCAGAACTGGGCCTCTTTTAATAAAAATAATGCATGCTGTTAACTTCAGAAAGCAATGTTGTAGTCACGTCCTTTTCTGAGTGACTTCAGAGTTACCAGACTTAGTTCTAACCAGGTGAGAAGTCTTTTCAAGAAAGCACGCTCTGACGGTCATTCAGTGTCAGACTGTTTTCAGAGAAATGTGGTATTTTCTATCATTCAGGAGCACCAGATCAAACAATTTTTAATAGCCTCACAATTAAACAGTTTTTTAATAGCCTCGCAGGATGAGCTGTGGTGATGCCCACAGGTTGGGGAATTTTTCTTTCAGTGGTGCAAATGAAGTCCAGGAAAGAACAATGCTTTTCTTTGTTCTGTGGTTTTTGTAATTGGTATATTCATTTTTGTGAAAAAAGGAGGTTGCTTGTAATGAGAGTCTATAGAGTGACGGATAGAAAAGTCCTCAATCACCTTTTCTACACAACCACTACATAATAGTGTATCTCAGTTGCCTAGTAACCTTGAGGCCATTATCCTGCTAACATCTAAAACACTCCTCTGGCCATTGTCATACAAACCCTACACCTGCTCCTTATTTAACATGTTAATTTGAATGTCCAGTCTGCCTGTGCTTTATTGGGCTCTTTCTTAGTAATTTTTTGGAAAACACATTCATATTTCTTGAGTTATATTTCACTTTGTAATCAAACTTCCATCACTCATAATTCAGTTTCTCTTTCACAAACATTTGCAGTAATAAAAGTGAAATGTGCTGGACTGACTGCACTGGACATTTCAAACCCTTGGTTTATCCACAGAGCAGAGAACAGCATCAATGTGAGCTTCCTGTCACTGTCCCATCAATGTGTTTCAACACAGATTAGGAGCTACTGCCTTTAGGGGGAAGAATGTTTTAGGTAACTCAAAGTTGGATCATTCTGTCTTAAACTTCTGGATCAAAGGGGAATCTCTGACACTCGGATCTAAACTAGTAATTACACACCGTCTGTTTTCTTATACACAGTCCACCAGATATAGAAACATAGCAACTCTGGTCCATCTAGTTCAGAATCCTGCCTCGAGTGGTGGCCATTAGCCACAGAGAAACATTGCAGGAGAGCCTGCAGTAGACCCCAGCGTGCTGGGAAAGTTTCTTCCTCACCACTCTTAATTAGAGAAGCATTTACATCCTGAAGTCTTAGGATCTGGATCCCTTCCAAAATTCTTGTGGTTTTGGGGGGAGGGAGAGTTGCTTACTATTTTAGCTTTGTCTGTGTTCCACTTGATTAATCTATGGAAATGAAACAATAAAGCTAACACTTTTCCTAATTTTATAATTGCGCTGCAGTACTTCGATTCCATCATTGTATAACCTTTATTTTTTATTCCATTTCTCTTATCTCTATGTTGCACCTCCACCCCGTTGTATTTCTGTACATTCTTTCTGAATTAATTCATAACAGCCTGGTTACAGAACAGATACAATCTCTCACCTTTCAAAAGCTTAAACGCTCCGACTACTAGTATAATGTCCAGATGATGTTTTAGTATTTGTCTTATTCTGAGCTTGTGTATCAAAAAGTATTTTGAGGAGGACACTCCTTATCTGTTCCTCTTTCAGGTGTAATACAAACGGTCTTGGATTTTAATTGTGGTGTTCAAGGGGGAAAATGGTCTGCTAAGCTGTAAGAACTTTTCTGTTCATTAAATAAAACAGGTTATGGCTGGTGATATGTCCTTTACAACCCAGTTATGAATTTACACTGATCGTGCTATCTTTCTTGGTGGATTGAATGTGTTTTGCTCTGGGGCCTCATGTTGCCTCTTCTAATATAACTTGGACTCTTGATTTCTCAAGATAGCACCTGGTACAAAATAACTACTCAAAACATAAAAGGAAAAAGGGGGGAATTTATTTTGTGGAATTAAAAATGATGTGTTTCATTAACTCTTACAATGGAAAAATAGTTATAGGAAAACAATGTTGTGGCTTAGGTACATCACCAGAGACCATGGCTGTATGTGCATTATATTCCTGTTGGTGCACTCTTCGTGCCTCTGTGCAGACTTATGCCTTCAGATCCTAAGCAAGAGGTTGTGTCTTTAGCTGTCGATGACAATTCCCTGCTGTTAGCCTTCAGCAGTTTTCCCCCCCAAGGTGAATCAAACCTGGATGCCTTTTCTGCAGGGCTCTGTGTGATATGTTTGATATATTAGGTTGTTATTTAATCCAACTATATATCAAACATATTCCTATAGTGTCCTGCCCTGTCTCCGGGGGTTTATAAAGTAGTATAAGGCAATATGAAGGAATACTTTAAATCACAAGCAGATTTAGAAGACTTCCTGCAGACTCTCATTCTAATGATTTTTAAAAAACACATACGGTGAAGTGTTCTGATTAGGGCTGCTCTCCGGAGATGTATAAGTTCCATAGGGTCTAATAGGCAGCAGCCATCCAAATACTGAATCTCATAGGAGTGGTCTCTTGTGTTTACCTGGCTCTTTTGTAACTTACCTTTGTTGCTGTCTCTTTATTAAATTAAAACTGAGAGGCACTTCAAAAGAAATATGGTTTGTCTTTCATGACTGCTGGCAACAAGTTTATGGTGGTTCACTCATTCTGCTATTGATCCTACATCTTATTCATGCTGTCCATTGTACGTGAAGGATCTGTGGGAAACTGGTTAAAAGTAATGGAATACAAAAACATCTGTCTCTGACTCTTCAAAAACTAACAGCACAGTGGTTTTATCAGCGTTTTGTGACATAATGTTTTATCCTACACCATTTTGTAGTTGGACCAGTAATTTGTGTTTATTTTTTGTGATCTCATGTTGCAGACTATTTCTCCCTCCACCTACCCACCAATCAAACCTGTACCACCAAAGCATAAAGATGAGTTTATTAGCCTAAGTTTGTGGAAATGGATGTTGGTTGACCTTGGATTTTTTAAACATTATGTCAAGTTTCATGAACTTGGTTTAAAAAAATCACCAAAATTAAATCTTTAGTGAGTCCCTTGTGATGGCAAACAATGGAATTTCATGTCACACATGTCAGGAAGTCTGGTTTTATGATCTGGCATTCTGAGAATTGCTTAATTTGAGAACAATCTTGAACACTAAGAAGTTTTGAGCTGACTGAAAATCTGAGGTTTACTTTTTTGAAAAAACTGAAATTTTCTGCAGAGGGGGAAAAAGCCCAGTTTTCCAGACAGCTGTAGTGCCTAGCTATCCATTCCCATGCTAGGTCTTATTCCTGCCCCTGTGTAGCAGTATCTTAGTAGCTGTACCATAGCTTTCTATTTGATGTGAGATGTGATTTCCCCTTCCATTCTTTTTCAACTACAGGTTGAACCTCCCTAATCTGCCACTCTCTGGTCGGACAACATCTGTGGTCCCACATGATTTAAGTTAGACTGATGGCCACTTATCAAGTGGACAAGTTTCCAGCAGTCCCATAAAGTTTGTTTACAGCCCTCAGTCCTGGCTTTCAGTGTTCTGTGCTGATCTTTAGCTCTAACTGACCCCGAAATGTCTTCTAAGGATCCAGTAAGCAGTAGGAGGGTAGGTAATGCTGCTAGATGTCATTGACCTCCTGTGGTTCAGCAAATTCTCTGATTCAGCAGGGGTCAGGTCTGAGAGTACCGGACTAGCGAGGTTCAGCCTGTAATCATTTTTATGTGGTATTTATATGGACAACACTGAGCACATCATGCTGTGCTGAATGAATCATGTACAGTGAATGAATTCTTCCCCTTCTGTTGTTGGATCTCTGCAACTCTGGAAACGTGTAAGGTATTTTGAAGTGATGTTTCATGTTGTAGAGGTATTTCTAATTCAATAGTTAAAAGTGCTATTTGGAAAAGCTGTCCAGCCCTGATATTGGTGTCCATATTGCAGAGCCATGACAGTGAAAATGTTATTAGGCTGTGTGAATAAATAAAATCTGACATAAAAATAGTTGCTGAACTGTTAGCTGAATAGCTGAATCAGCTAATAGCATTCACTTCCTTACAGCACGGTCATTGAAAGAATAGTGCATATATTACTATTGGTATAAGGAAATTAAATGGCTTTTGGCTCATGGATGCTTCCACTATTTTGGAAACAAGGTCCATCATTCCAGTCCAAAACAGTGTTTTTCTTAAAAATGAGTGACTAACACTGTACTGTGACACATCAGAGAAGCATAAGTGAAAGGTAGAGGGAGCAACGTACTAACCTTCCTCTACTTGGTACTTGAATTTGGATTTCAGCTGTAATCAAGATGGAATTGCTGGTCTCCACTTTCTCTACAGTGGATGCTGCTCCTTTTCCCCAAACCATCAGATGTTTAGGTGAAATTAGTGCTGTGCTCTTTGTAGAGGCTCCAAACTGGAAATAGTAGCATTGCAATTGGCAGGAATACGTGCTGCAACTTTTTCACTTCCTGTTCCCATGAGGCTTGGCTTTTTTGCACTGATAGATTTTTCCTGCAAGAGAGACAAATTCACCTAAACATGTTTTTAAAATAGGATACTGACTGATTTAGGCCCTCTGGTGTCAAACTGTGCCCTTTGTGCTAGTAGTCAACGTAAGAGATTAACAACATTTCAGTCCTGTTGCAGAAACCATAGTCCACTTCAGTTATTGTTTAGATACGATAGTTGTGATGGTGTTGCGCTACAAACATGGCCAGAAATCCATCTGCTAAGATGATTTGTTTCATTAACATGGTAATTCCTTATCATAACCCTTTTGTACAGATGTACACATGTGCCGATCCTAATTAGTAATGGCAAATATTCTGCATTTAGTAGGCAGCTCTTGTTCTTTTATCTCGTCCTTTAAGGTGACATCCAATATTATCATTACACAGCAGAAGTTGCATGTTTCTCTATACCAGCTTCCCAAGATAATTCTTATTGGATGTGCTATGCTCTGGTTACTTCAGCCTTGAGCCCCTTTTAACTCCTAAGGCCCCTGTCTGGCAGTTTTGAAGTGTGCCACAGAGAATTAGAATGAGAGCGCCTCACAAAAGTGGTTTTTGTTTGTGACTTTCACCTGCATACCAAGTTAGCTCTTTACAGATGAACTGTGGCATGAAAATAACTACACTTTCTAGACCCCTGATTTAGAAAAGGGCAATCTGCCTAAAAACAAGGGTCTGATATTAAATATGCCTTTTCCTTCTGTAAAGGACAACGTAGAGAAATGCAGGAATGGCCTATTTTCAAAAATACCGTGCTCTCATTTAGACCCCCATAATGAAGTGCTCAGCTATAGGCTCCTGGGCCCATTTGAAAATCTGCCCGCACAATTTTGGATGCTGAACACTTCCGAAAATGTGAACAAACTCTCCACAACATGGCTTGCAGTTCTGTGCAACCTTAGAGTGGGATTTGAAACATGGTAATTAGAGTAGTAAATAAATTGTAACTGTTTAAGCACGGCAATTTTGGAGCATTTTGGGTTGGTTGTTGGACTTTTCCTATTCACAGTTCTTGTTTTACTGTCTCCAAAGAAAAGATCTCCAGATGAATCCTGACGGTTCTGTATATCTAATATCCCTTGTCCAGAAACAAACCACTTGAAGGTCACCAAGTATTAAGCTGTTCTGAATGGAGGAGTGAAATGTGATAATGTAGTGATTCGTCGTGTGTGGTACTTTTTAGTCACTTACAACAGTGAGTGTAGGGTCCCTACAACAAAGATATTTAAATCTCAGTTAAATACAACTTAAGAAAGGTTCAGTCACAAAAGCAGAGTGGGTACTACCAGAAATCAGATTCACTTTGAAAGACATTAATGTAATATCTTGTCATTAAAACCAGTGCCTTTGTTAATGATCATGGTCACTGGTCTAATAATACATTACATACCAGGCTCGTGTGAAAAATTCTGTTTCATCAGATGTGAACTTGCTTTCTTATTAGAATATTGAGGTCACAATAGTGTGCGTAAAGGAGAAGGAATAACCATGTCCTTTGTTTGTTATTTCCCCACATCCTGCTAAGTTATCAGAAATATTAAAAGAATCTGAATATTATGTATTTTATCTCAAAATGCAGTTTAACCTCATTTGGAAGAGTTAGTGATATGAGAGCGCTGTACTCGCATGGATTTCAGGAAAACAGATCTGAAAAGACCCATCTCTCTCAAGGAATCCTGTGAGGGGACACATCACACTTATTGTGCCCTAATGCCCCCACTGGTCTTTCTGCTTTCCGTGCCCTTTAACATATGACTTTTCTTGGCTATAGTCTAAGTAAAAACCAAAGAAAACCAACAAATAACATACACCTCCCCTCATTTACGTACTGCAGTGCTTGTATTTGTTTTGAAAGGAATAACACACGGAAGCTAGGAGTAGGTGGGGGATGATAACACATGCTCAAAGCAGAGCCTCCATAGGCTTACGTTTTTGTTTGTGTTGTTTTATTCACGTTAAGGCCGGGTTTAGGAAACTAATATTGCAGAGCAATAGTTTCTTTTGTCTAGTGAGAAATATTAGGAGAAGTTAATCTTCCTGTTCAGGACATTCTTGTTACAAAGTGGGTTTAGCAGTTTAAATGGATCCGGACAGACCTTCAGCATTTCATAACTCTAAGAGGACTGCACTGAACTGCTTTTCACTATTTACTGTCAGGGAAATTATGCAGCTGACAAAAAGCAATTAAATTAATGGGCTTACTTTGATAACTGTGTCATGCTTTTCATTACAGATGAACAAAGCATAGTGATAACATTAGAGCTGTCGTTTTTTTAAAGCTTTTATGCATTCCCCTTATTATATTTGCTAATTATCTATGTGCTTTGTTTAACAAATGCTAATAATCACAAACAAACCACTTTTTGATACTACAAAAATAGTATTGTATGGGAAAGCAAGAATTCCATTTCAGGCTACTGCTTTATCTGTATTTCGTTAATAGTTTTTAATTCTTCCCGGGGATACCAGAAACTCAGTGTTAGGCACTGAAATAGCTTGCGGGGTATTTAAATAAAATCTGTTACTATAAATATTACACAAGGTTGGCCACGAGGGCAACATTACTTTCAAGTTAATATTTGTGTTGATTTCCAGTAGTTAATGCTGATGTCTCTTAATTTAGGCCCCAGGAAAGTGCTTTGTAACGTGCAGATAAGGTATTGGTGCTTCTTTGTCTCTGTGTAGCTGGATTAGAGAATCCAAACTGAGGAAAGAAAATGTTTCCTGGAGACTGAAGAGAAACCCCTTTGTTCTGAATTGTGTGTGACACTGTTCTGTTTTGGTTATAGCAAGCTGACGAGACTCTGGATTTTGAAGAACAGATCCTAGAAGCAGCTAAATCCATTGCAGCTGCTACTAGCGCCCTAGTCAAGTCGGCCTCGGCAGCCCAGAGGGAGCTGGTGGCTCAAGGAAAGGTGGGTGAACAGGACATTCAACACAGAGGAAGTATTTTAAATTGTAAAGCATGTAGCGTCTTAACTTTTCTATGTATGGAATGCATTCTGGATTGACTAATAAATATGTCATAATCTGTTGGATTGTGAGCCCTGGCCCAGGTTGGTTGAAAAGTCTGCTTGTTTAAACATAGCAAACATAATTAGATATTTGGCTTTCAAATGTCTCAGCTGTTTCTTATTAAGAAATGTGTTTCACTCCATGAAGGACCAGGCTTGTTGTGTATGGCCCCATAATACACTTTAGGATTTAAAGAGAAACAGAGCCATAAACAATAACATTCTGGTCCAAATTAGCAGAGGGCTTCACTAATTGTGTCTCGGGGTGCCTCAGGACAATTAAAGTGCTTACAAAATGTCCCTATATCCATTTGCATTGAGAGCTTTTTATTCCATTTCACTTCCATTTCTTTTTTTTAATCTAATTCACTTAAGTTGAATAGGACTTAAATCTCAACCGCATCCAGCTTGTTTGTTTATGAGACTAGTTTGTCATAGGACTACCATTGTTTTATATTTGTGGTTTCTAATTATATTTAAACACTGATTCTGAGAAGACTGTGCCATTGAGCCCTGGGATAAAAGAGCTATTTTATCTTGTTCAGCAAGACTTTCCAGGGAACTTGTGTTTGGTTCCACCATGTTTACAAAGCAATTGTTCTGGAACAGTAGGCAATTAAATGGGATTTTGCATCTCTAGTGGATGGGGAGCTCCTAGAATATCAGTCAGAAAACCCTGGCTAGTACAGAGATATATGCCAGAGTCTGGGAACTACTAACTCATGTTAGCATAGAAATATGTCAGAAATTGTCTTGTGTCATTGTTGAGTGTACACCGAAGTAAACTGGAGGGAAGGGATGTGTACATAAGACTTTGATTTCAGATGGTTCTGGTCTTTGAATGCAAATCAAGGTAAAGCAATTGCATTTTATATTTCACTGTAAGCAAGTATCTGAATTATTCTTTCAGGTTGGAGCTATCCCTGCAAATGCAGCAGATGATGGACAGTGGTCTCAGGGACTTATTTCTGCTGTGAGTAGCTTCTATTTTTCTGCCCCTTGAAAGTCTGCAAGAAATTAGAACTCTCGTTGACTTTAGCTATTGACTCCTAGGCCCGAATGGTGGCGGCTGCAACCAGCAATCTGTGTGAGGCAGCTAATGCCTCTGTACAAGGTCATGCTAGTGAGGAAAAACTCATCTCATCTGCCAAACAAGTTGCAGCTTCTACAGCACAGCTGCTTGTGGCTTGCAAAGTGAAGGCTGATCAAGACTCTGAAGCCATGAGAAGACTACAGGTAACAGAGTTCCTAATGTAAAGTACGTTTCAGAGCTATGTAACAGTCCCATCACACCTTTCCAACAAATCCAGAATTCAGCCAATAGCTTCAGAACATTACCTGAAAAAAACCATGGGTTTTATCTTCTCCAGTAATGGAATAGGTTGTGTTAACCAAGGCTGCCATTGTTAATCAGCATTTGGAGCTTGTTCTAGCTCACTGTGATGATTTTAGCCATTTCCTTGGAGATGGTTCAACTTTTTGATAGACTACTTTACATTTTCATCTGCACCTCACACCAGCTGACAGAGGATACAGTGATCAGAGGAAACTCTGCTCATCTCAGTATCTCAGAATCAATAACAATGTGCACCATCTTGCATGTCGATAATGCACCCAAAATCAAAGTGTCAGAAAACGTTATAGTGCCAGATGTCAGAAGTAACAGTGCAGTTCACCATCACTGAAAGATATTGGGAGCAATTATCTTTTCAGTTTGTTTACTGTGTGATTCTTGATAGTGCTTCATGTCTAGTTGGCGTTACTGTTCTCTTTGTGTATTCAGTTGCAGACACTCGTGCACATGTTTATATTTGAGAGTTTCTGTCCCCCCCAGACGAGGGGAGATATGTACCCCTCCCCCAGCTGTGCCATTGGAGCTGAAGCAGCCATGAACAAGCGCTTCTCACCTGGTCCTGAGCTGCTGTGGTGACAGGGGGCTGGGTTAGTCCTCTCTCCCTAGGTCAGCCTGAATCCTGATGCCCTCATCCCCAGCCCCGCCTCAGAGCAAGGGTTTGAAGGAAGCATGGACATTTTTCATTTTATTTTCCAAAAAACAAAACTGATTTGAGTTAAGGACCTGAACAATGCTGGGTCAATCTTCTAGTGCCCTGTAATTTTCTCACCTCTTTTAAAAAAAAAAAAAAAAACCACAAGCCTGAACAACTCTCCTTGCTGTCTTGCCATCTCTGATAGAAGCATGGAGCCTGCACTACAGCCTGCTCTATGAGAAAGAGGGAGCAAGGGCGGGGCAGAGCAGAGGGTCCATATGGAGCCTGGGGCAGTGAGGGACTCGCTGGCCCTGGGCTCCACGAGGCGTTTCAGTCTTTGAAATGTCCAAGGCGGGACACTGCACGACACTTCTGCCTTTGAAATGTAGCAGCAGCTGGGCAGGCTCTTGCTACATTTCAAAGAGGAAGCGCCCTTATCGACTAATCCATCAACTATTCAATTTGTTGATTCATCTAATTTTAACATCCCTAGCCTACACAGCTCTGCATTGTTGTAAGAAGGGGAAGTGCCCTAGAAATCATCAGTGACTGGTGGAATCACATCATAATGCAGGCTTGGGATGACTAGCAGTGGCTGCAGAACTTTCAGATGCACAAGGCCATGCTCCTGGGTCTGTGTGCCAAGCAAACCCCAGGGACATCGGAATAAGAGCTTCACTGACAGTGGTGAAGCAAGTGGTGATCACCCTGTGGAAACTTGAAATGCCAGATTGCTATTGGTCGGCAGGAAAGTCCTCCAGGGGGACGACATTAATCATGCAAGTGTTCAGGGCGTTAATTGTTGTTAATAAGGTCATGTGGCTCTAACAGACAGCAAGAGAGGAGAGAACATTCTGAAATAAGAAAATGGTTGTAAGACCACTAACATTGGCAGAGAAACTACAGAATCCGGCTTAGGATCAGAACTAACTTAATTCGCTTTTTGTAAAAGTTTTTTTGATTTCATGTGGAGTGTCCCCTTTGGACAGAGTTTATCTCAGCGGTAGCTGCGCTAACACCTGGCGTATTAACCTTCTTGTCTTGAGGATGTACAATTGAAATGTGCTCAGGTTAGAAATGACTGCATCTGTTACCGCACGCAGTGGTGTGGTAGCTGTGTCAGTCTCAGATATTAGAGAGACAAGGCATCTGAGGCAGTATCTTTTATTGGACCTACTTATGTTGGAGAGAAAAGCTTTTGAGCTTACACGGAGCTCTTCAGAACTGGGAAACTCATTCAGACTCACAGCTGTATACAAGGTTGTTTAGCATAAGTAGTTAATAGGTTCCAGGGACTGTTCAGTGTGAAGGGAATTTTACTGCAGCTTTCACTGACTCCTTGCCCTGCAGTCTCAGTCAATGTTCTAATAGCTGGTTCTAAATTTTTGGGGAACAAAAACCAGTCCGTTTACTTTAGTTACTAAAATCAGCAATTATGACTTAGTGCAGATATCTGAGCAAGGGGAGTCTATTGTTTTTGGTCATTTTTCAAAATAGAACCATGATTTCAATCTTGGTCAAAGCTTGAGGCAAATGTAAGACTCTGTGGTGGTTTAAATATAAAACAAAGCCTTTGTGATATTATCCCTGCCCGGATGCGGGTGGAACTGGAGCAGTTTTGGCAGTTGATTAGGGGCTCATTTTGGATGGGCTTGTCTCGGTCGTGGGCATGCATCAATGACTGGAGGATTGTTCTCTTTCTAATGAATCCCCACATTAGTATCTGAGTGCCAAGATGGGGCTGGAGGAACTTTCAAAGCAGAATAATGTCTACAAAAGAGGACAGAATGCTAGTATTTATCATGTTCTGCCTGCCTGTCCTGGAAGATCAGGGCATTTGGGTTACCATAGCAAATGCTATTACATGAACATAGAATATAGTTAAACACAAAGCTCAAGGGGGCAGGCCCAAGAGCCCTGGAAAAGTTTCTTTTAAGGGTTCAAGCACAAGCTTTGAATAGTTTATTCACCAAGCAGTGGAGGAGGTTTGAAAATGGGAACATCACTTTCCCCTTGGCCGCAATGCCCTTTACTATAGCAGAACTACTGGGTTAGTGCATTTCAAATATTTTGTGTTGGTGTCTTTGGCAAGCATCTGGGTTCCTCTGCTGGCTCTGCCAATAACATCCATGTCTTCAAGGAGCCTTAATCAATAGGGTTGATATGGGAGCTGGAATGTCCTGGTTTCTTCTTTGACACCCATGCATGCAGCATGCAGACAAGGTTTTGGAGAAGGAGTTTGAGCTACGTTCATTTTGAACACTGTTTTGGAAGCAGCTATATTCGGAGTCTGGGGAAATGAAAATGCATGTGAATCATCTTAGTTCTTCTTTGAATGATTGTCTATATGAATTTTCTCTTTCTGCACATGTGCCCCGTGCATGCTACATCGGATTCTTTTTGATTAGTAGTGTCTGGGGGGGCCACGCCTGTACCCAAAATGAGGGCATACAGGAGCATGTCCTGCAGTCCTTCCGTTCCTTTTTATCTCCCGGGGCAACAAGATGGGACCTCTGCCGTTACAGTCTGAGTCTCTGCACGCTGGACTAGCATTGGTGTGCAGTAGTTACTGGTATCGTTAAGTAATAGCTGTATGCCAGTTGGCACGAACAAATAACATGTTTTAGTCAGATATTTGTTTATAGGCCTGACCCATAACCACATACAGGAGCTCTAACAAGATGGCAAAATCAAAAGCAGCAGGCTTCAAAATCTGACCCACACAAGAGGCGTCGATGCCACTTAATTGATAGGTACTCTGGGTGCAGCTTTTGCTTCCAGGCTTCAAAATCTGACCCAAGAGGCGTCAATGCCACTTAATTGATAGGTACTCTGGGTGCAGCTTTTGCTTCAAGGAGGGAAATAGTCCAGGGCAGTGATCTGTATGTAGCTCCTTGCATGGGCTGACTCAGAAAGTTAGAGGCGCCCACCTAAAACTATTCTCGTGGTGTGCTCAATGCAAGTCTCCAGGGAAGCTAAAAGGAAGGCTGCAGCTACACCTCCATCTTACGGTCAGTCCCTCTCCATGAGCTCCCCAGCAAGCTGAGATCCCACGCCACGCTCCTGTGCTACCTTTACCAAGACGCCCCGGTCATCTGCCTCCATCCTGACATCCGTGATCTCGGAATGGGTTACAGAGGAGCACCACTCCACAGACAAGCTGAGTCATTGACCACCATCTCTAGTCATTAGTCAGCAGGGGTCTGACTTGTCTGGAGCTTAGGAGTGTGATCTGAAAGGAACTTGACATCAGCCATGATAGCAAATGGTTGACTCCACGTCCATGGAGTCACTCAGTGATACAGCCTTTTTACAACACCAACAGTAATTCATACGTTGTACGTGGCGCCCTACATTGAGTCACAGACCCACAGAATTATCCAAGTTCATGTTCACCGTACAGCGTGATGGGTAAAAGTGCATTTGGTGTTCAACGAGGAAGACAAGTGTCCTGTTTGTGGAGTTGAGTGGAGCTCTGTCTCCTGCCCAGAAGGGGACCTACATTATGTATCTGCTGAGGGATAGCTCGCTGGTTTGAGCGTTGGTCTGCTAAACCCAGGGTTGTGAGTTCAATCCTTGAGGGGGCCATTTAGTGATCTGGGGCAAATCTGTCAGGGATGGTACTTGGTCCTGCCATGAGGGCAGGGGACTGGACTCACTGACCTCTCAAGGTTCCTTCTAGTTCTGTGAGAGAGGTATATCTCCATATATTATTATTATTGCGACTAAATTCCTTTTATCTCCTCTCTAGGCTGCAGGGAACGCTGTCAAACGAGCATCCGACAATCTTGTCAGGGCAGCCCAGAAAGCAGCGTTTAGGAAAGCTGATGACGATGACGTGGTGGTCAAAACCAAGTTTGTGGGTGGCATTGCTCAGGTTGGTATGAACATCCAGAGCCACAGTCAGAAAAATGTGTGTCTCAGAAATATACCTTATGTAACACGTTACTAGATTCGTGCAGCACTGCATGAAACGCCATTGTAAACGATCTGCTGTCATATCCTCTGTTATGGGCACATGGACAAATAGTGCATACAGTGAATAGGCAACGCTCTGTTCCACACTGGGCATCGTGAGTGTTGTTGCCACAGTGTAAGATCTTCATGTATCCCTTCCTATTGTTAAAGTGATGCCTGAAAAATAATGAAAAGCTGCTTCTACAAGAGGTGCTACCAAAACCATTCCTAAGTGTTTTACAGCACAGCAGGATCTCCCAGCTCTCTCCTGTGGTGCTCCTGCAGGAAAATGAACGTTTCTCAGTATATTGCATTATGAAGTGTTGTAGGATAGGTTCACGGTCGGTGTCCCCTTTGTTACTGTGGATCCAACAGACTCCAAAAGAGGAGAAACAGCTCAGACTGATTTCTCCTACTCTCCTTGGCTTGTTTCCACCTACCTTTGTTTTACAACTAGTTTGTTCTGAGATGTGTCTGATTAATGCCCTGCATAGTAGTCCATAGTTGGATGGTGGAATGGCTGGTTTTTCCTATACTTAGGGACCTCTGAAGACAGAGCCAGATTAACTATTCTGGAGCTCAGGGGCTAGTAGATTTTTGTGGGACCCCCTAGGCTCTAGTGTGGGACCAAAAATTAGGAGTTCATTGTGTGGAAGAGGGCTTCTGGGGAGCAGGGGAAAGGTGTGGGTTCTGGGCAGGAGGTAGGGCACAGGGGGAAGGGTGCAGGCTCTGGGCGGGAGGGAGGGCGCAGGGGGAGGGTGCAGGCTCTGGGCAGGAGGGAGGGCGCAGGGGGAGGGTGCAGGCTCTGGGCAGGAGGTAGGGCACAGGGGGGAGGGGGGAGGGTCTGGGCGGGAGGGGGGG